TCTTCAAAAAACAACTTCATTGCAGCTGATAATCACGGAGCTCTAGTCTCCGCGGGTTTTGAAGTATCTGCGGTTGTCGGTCATAATTTGAACAACTCTAGTTCTGATAAAAATGACGGAATGGATGATATTTCTAATGCACAAATGTACTTCAATGCTGAACATCAAAATTATTTTTCTAAACAATCAGAGTAAGTAAAAAGGTTTTTGTAACTACGGCACCAATTGAAAATTCAGTTGCATTTTTTTTTAAAAATAAAAATATGTCTTAATTTTTTTTCTTTAAATAGGTCCACAGAAGTAAGGTCTTTTAATGAAACTATAGTGCAGGGATATAACAGATTAATACATAATTTTGAAAATGAAACACTTGATGTAAGTTCATAGTAGAATTGTTATATTTACTTTCTATATATGTAATCAGTCACTTCGTTTAAGTAATTAAGAAGACACACCTTATTGGATTTATTGTCTAAAATCATATAAAACGCCGACTAAGTTTTGCGTTACTTATTAGCTTCAATCATAATTTGTAAATCAGAAGTGCATAATGTAGTTGACAATATGTTTTTATTTTTTAGGAGGCGAATACCATGGCTGAGCGAGACGTTGGATCAACATTTCTATTACCCCATACTCACCTTTACAAGTTAGATATTGTAAGACTAAAAATTTCTATGCAAACATTTATTTTGAATAATCTTTGTGTTCTTGATTGTGTTTTTCAGCAAGAAAGTGAAATATCTGGTCACGAATCATTTTAGGGACGATGTGGGGTACTGGATGATGTGACGCCTTAGAAGTTACAATTGAATTAAAACTAAAATCTTTCATCAAAGGAGTGACAATCATAACTTTTCTCAAAATTTTCATCGATGCAAAAATGACGCACTAAAATATAATGCTTAAATCTCACATTATTCTTATAATTAAGAGATTTGATCTGCAAATATTATTTATAAATTCATCTCCGCCCAAGGATTTTTTTTGGAATTTTTGGTCAAAATGTTTCATATTTAAAGCTTTATTAGTAAGGGGGTGGGAAGTGTAGAGTGAAGTCACAAATATTTTTGTAAAGCTTAAGCTTCATAAATTCAAAGTAATAACATATATAAACTCTATAGTCTTTCTAATATAAACAAAAACTCTATGAAAAGGGGTAAAATTTGATGTTCGATTAATCGAACTTTGGGCGGATATGGGTTAATTAAAGCTTATTTTTATAAGGGCTAAAAAAATGTGATTAAGCATATCTTATAACTTTTATATTTGTACTTTCATACAAGTTTAATTATGTAATTTAACATTAATGCATTTAAAAATTATTTATTTGTACAAATTTTAGGCAAATGTAAATGAATACATTTTTAACTTTTAATTACTGTTTATATTGTGCCAATTACATGTTACTTTTATTTTGCTATAAGTTACCTTATATTATTAAATAGTTTTTAAAATTAAGTTTCGGTTTTGTTACTGCGACCAGACAAGCATTTGTACAGAAAATAAATACATACATATTATTAACATTACATCCAAATACTCTTTTTTTTATACGCTAAGTGCCACTCGTGCCATATTAAAGTATTGCCATATGTTTATCCAATTACCATCTACTCTCTATTCATCTATGCAAAAGTAGGTACACTTCTTCTTATTTGGCACTACAGTCCAGTGTAAACCTTGGTCTCCTTCTTTTTTAAGCAAGCTTGCGTAGCGGATGTTTTTTCAACCCCCAACCTGGAGGACCAGATCCCCTGCAAATCTGGGGATAAAATTGGTGTTTGATAGCCAGAAAGTTTCCCCTCTGCTAGGTGTTTCCAGATTATACCGCTTGTGCTCGGTCGTCAGAGCCTAGTATGCAAGAGAATCCCCTGGCTGAGACGAGGATAGGCTATGTATTTGCATCACTCCCGCATTGCAGCACACACTGCTGCCCCTTGCAACCCTGGTAGGCAGACTAGATAATAGTATTATCAGTTCATTATTCTTTAAAATTTTAGCTCTTGTATTATACGTCGGTATTACCTGCTCTGGTCGCATCTACTGCAAATGTTACTACTCCATTAAAGGTGTCTGATGTGTTGTTATAGTCTCTGTGAAGCGCTACCGGTGTTTATAACTTAAGTTCATATATTTCCAGTGCCGCATTCTCTACTAACACGCAGAACATAGAGAGTATTGTTAAAAAAAAGCAACTGCAATAAAATTTATCTACGTTATTTAAATAATTTAAAAGCCTTTTTTTATTGATATTTATGAATACGAATTTATTACAATATTTTTAAAATTTTTTTATATATATATGTATATATAGATGTATTATTAATTCAAATTAATAATACTGTAATAATTAACAGATATACCTGATGTTGGAAAGTTATCTATGTCTGTATACCATTAATCGATAATCAATAAAACATATATAAATAGAGGCGAATACGCGAGGCTCAGGAAAATTTTATACAATACTTTCACCAATTATAAGTATATTTAATTAATTTAGCTTTGACTATCAAATAATTATTATTTTATACCAAAGAAATGGATTTTTACTAATCGATGGAGCTTGATTGTTTCAGTTTGATTCAGAAACGAAGTGTGTAACGTATTCTAGCAAGTCTTGGAGTCCTCTCGCATCACCGAAAATTTACTAACCATAAACTTTTTAAAAAATGCTGTGGATTTGTAAACTTGTTGCAATCGTCGAATCAAAATCAATAATCCTGTAAACGTGTCTATTCTCCGTGAATAAGGGTAATTTCCAATAGTCCGCAATACAAAAGCATGGTTAATACCTTGGAATGGAAACTTACTATAAACAAAAGTTCAGGTGTTCAGTGTCCAGTAGTAATTGTTTCATATATAACCAGTGCATATTTAAACATATTTGCATGAGTGCACACATATTAGTTCTTTCAACTAGTCTGCTACTAGTTCATTTTTGAATAGCATTAGGGGTTGTAGTCAATAATTCGGAGAATAAATTCTGTGCCATAGAATGTGGGAACCAAAGTCGTTATGTTTGCCCTCAGTGAAACAGTTGAGTTCACTAACTTCGCTGGAAGGATATAAAAGAGTTTAAAAATGAATATGTTATGCTGAAATAAGAATCAGTGTAAAACTAAAGTAACACGATCATCCATGCAGCAGTAGAAGATATACCTATATTAGTAATCAGTTACAAATAAACAAGAAATAATTTTTGCAATGTAAATTTACTACCCAAATGCGTGTATAAGTAAGCTATTAGAATGTGAACCAAATATTGTTGGCAGAAGGTCAGCAACTCATGCATAGAGAATGTGTAAACATTCTCACCAACCTGCCATACTGACCACAGCACAGGTGCAGAGAGGATATACTTTTTTTTCTAAAGTGACATACTGGCCGCATATAGTTTTGTCCTTTCAGTGTTTGTTAGCAAGCGAGAGTTACAGTTTGGTCGGACAACTAATTACAGTACGTAAAATAGTTATTTTTTATGGTGACTCTTTGAAGATACATTTGTATATATAAGTAATATAAATATATAAACACACGTACACATATATATACATATACGGGTGACTTGATGTCTGTAGTATATGATTTATAATAATTTTTTATTTAAATTTTTTATTTAAAAGCAAAAATAATTCTAAATATCGCAGACCTTAATAAAAAAAAATACTTTTACGCTTACTGGATGAGTGAATAAATTCGGTGTACAAAAATATAACTTGATTTTTTGACAAATAGACCGATTTGCACGTATGTATATACGAGTGATTTCATATTGTAATGAAATATTGAATATTATTGTATAATAATAATTATATAATGCAGAGCAATTAGTATGCATAAAATATGAAAGACTGCTTAATATTTTAATTCTGGAACTGTATTTTGGATACAAAACACTTACACACTGTAATGATACAGAATGCCTCGGCCAATCACAGTCGAGAAAGATTGCGTAAGGCGTGTTTATGTGTTCGACTTGCGAACAAACCCACCCCTCTATTCTCAGAGAATTCAAATTTGCCAATAAGAATTTGAAAGCTTATAGTTATATCTTTTTGCATAAAATCTCATCATTTTAGATACCTAAGTTTTGTTTAAGCACCATTTCTAGTTAACAGAAACTAAATATAATGCATCTTTTCGTTTTATTCTTAGAAACTACGTACACTATAGACTATTATTAATTAAATGAAATTAAATTGAGATCTTATTTCGACAAAAGAATACCTTTTTTATAAATTGAAGTCATAAATGTCGATGGAACCTGCACCGAATTTAACTATATGCTCCCAAGAAAGCCCTTCATCTTCATCTTTTTTAACAAATAGTGCTTTGTTATCTGACGTGACTCCAGCAATATCGTTGTCTGTACCACCCACTTCGGAAAAACAGTCGTTAATATCGAACGATGATGGTTCGGATGATGAAAGAGATCTCACGAACTTAACTTGGTTAACTGAATTACGAAACCAGAACCTCAGTTGGCCCTCAGTTGTCGATAAATGCGCAAATGGTGAGGGACAAGATGATGCCTCTATTGATAAAGTATATCAACAGCAACCATCAATTTCCGGCTTGGCTCAGACTAAACGTAAAAATTATAAAAATGGAAGAGTCCTTCAAACCATTCATGCAAAAAGTGGATCTGAGGAAAAGATGCTAAACATTTCTAATGGTCTCCAGAACGGTTTTTCGGTTAATACATGTAGCACACAGAAAGGATCAAGCCATCAGCAGCAAGGTCAACCTACGATCCCCACACCTTCGCAACGATATGAAATATTTTTAGATAAAATAAAACGGTAAGATTATTTTTCGAATATGTTATATATATAATGGATACATGCGTATAGTTTAAAAATCAAGAAAAAACAATAGATTATTATTCTAATGAAATTAATAATAATAAATTAAGAACTCTGAATATGTTTGTCATATTTTCATATCTGCCACTGATGTTATATCAAAAACGTTTTTATAGAGACTTAATGGAATATAAAAAATTTGCGACAAATTACCAGAACGATCCAATAGAAAAGCCACCCTTTAATTATTCGCACATAATTGGAATGGCTATGTTAGAGAATGGGCGTGTAACATTACAGCAAATATGCACATGGATTGAATCGAAATTTGCTTTTTTTCGCGTTCGAAAAAAGTGGAACGTAAGCCAAATTATAATATTGAAAATTTTATTTGTAATTAGTTTTAATCTTTTCCTAGAACTCCATACGACACAATTTATCGTTACATTACTGTTTTCGGAAAATAGATCGCAATAAATATGAAAAGGGAAAAGGTGGTTATTGGGAGCTTGGCGTTGACCCAAAAAAATGCGATCGAAAACGAATTCGAAATCGTAAATCTTTACAAAGTAAAACGATTGGTATGAGGGCAAATAAAAATTTCAATTCAAGCATAAGATCAAGAACTGGAATACGAAATACGGAAAAGTCAAAATATTGCTGTTACTTAGTTGAGAGTGAGAAGAATGTTCTTGAACCTATGGTTGATGCTCAAAGCTTGCCAGCAAATAAAGAAACCAATGAACTGTTAGTCAATGAGTTGAATGTTCAACATAGCAATGTGAGCAGTTGCAACGACCTACATCATCAGAACTTAAATGACGTTTTTATTACTGGCGTACTTAGCAATTCTACAGTTGAAGATACCACCAGTTCTTCAGAGATGTGTACGACTAACAGCATCAACAGCATGCAACAAAACATGCAAGATCAGCTGGATGATGATTTGCAACAAGGAGAGGAAAGTTTTCAACAACTACAAAAATATCAGCTTGGCACCATTATTATCAGCACTTCTGCAACGGATGTCGAACAAGCCAGTTCGACAATAAATAATATGTTTGGTGAAAATACTAATGAACAACATCAAAACTTGGTATGAGCGATATTAAGAAAGCTCTTGGCAATTCTGTATTTTTATATAAATGTTTTTTAGGTACTTTCCAACAACACAATGTTGCCAAGATGTGGAAATATAATAATCTCCTCATATCTTGCCAATAACAATATTGACAGTAACAGACATAATTTTAACGAACCACTTGCAAATCAAAGAATGCTAAGGTCAAATGTGATTGTGGAACAAGCTAATCATCCTTCTTTTGGCACGCTTTCTTCATTGGCTTCATCCAAAACATCTACCAATGAAGCCATTCCTCACATGGAGTACTCTACTGTTATAAGCGACAGTTTCCGTCCTTATATTGATGGCATTGAAGAGGCTTTCCAATACTTGCGTAGTATTGACAACAGTAATAGGGAGGATATACTTGACAATCTGTTAGATATATCCGTTAGTGACTATTAAATGACTGTATTATTATAGTTAAATAAGAAAATCTTGTCTTTTCGTCTGTCATACTGAATATCAACAAATAAAGAAAGTAAGAACAGATTTTTATGTATTCAAAGAAAATAATTGACTACGAATATCTTTTTAATAAATGTTAGTTACTTTGCTTAAGAAAGAATTAATTATTAATATGTAACAGAAATGTTAACAAAAATACTTTATTCATCAGATATATATAGTTTATTAGAAATATAAATAAAAAAAGTATTTGTAAAATTTGTAATATTAAGAAGTTGTCAAAGTACCATAAATTATACGACAAAGCGATGTTTCTAACTTTGTTTTCTGAAAGTACAAAAGACTCTGAATCTGAAATACGAAATTATATTTGAAATTCTAGTGTTTCTTAAATAATTTTTTTGATTACTTTATGACAAAAATGTATAATTGTAATTACCTGCTTTGTGATTAGGGACGCTTTATACTGTGAGAAATTCATTAATTGTTTTCACTTCGGAGTGGTTACTAACAATTATTCGGCATATGACTTAAGTCAAATTTTCAAATTTTCCAGAAAAAGAATTTATATAGATCACAGAATTTAACAAGAAAACTTCAACCAACAGACTTTAGCTTTTAACTTTAACTTTTACAGAAGAGTAAAAGTAATAATAACTAAGAACGCATCGATGCAATAGAGAGATAGAAAGTAAAAGCATAATCCTAAAATCATCTGGCAGCCTGGAGAATCGTCTGGTTGGAGAATTCAGTTAAGAGAAAATAGGTTGCTTCATTGAACAAGTTTATATGTTGTAGGAAATTTTCTTATATTTTTATGCATATGCCAACATGAAACTCTCAAGGGTTTAAAAATATTAATCACTGTTTAATTAATATGAAATTTAATTTAATTAATATGAAAACGTCATCAATACCATTTATAAAGGAACGCTTAGGTGAGCAGTGATAACTAATCCTAGCAAGCATTTTCAATCCCGTAACCATCTTCCATTAACAATTATTATGTTTAATAGCGGACGCGCGAGCTATGCAAACTTCAACTGTTGATTCCAAAAAAAAAATTAATTATGGAAAATGTGTTCCCTAACAATATAAAAACTACGATTCTTAGTTTCAGAGAACAATCCTATTCTGAATTTCCAATTTTGTTTTAATATTTTCGAAGGCTTTGTATTACTATGAAAAATGTTAAAAAACACTAGTTATACAGGTTCATTGTAGATTTAGCAATATTATCTTCCGGATAATATTCTGCAATATAGATGCTGAACCATATTCCATGGTACAATGTTTAAATGGAAAAGTGACAATAAAATAACTATTCAGAATTTACATTCCGTAATGAAACAATATGCTGGCGTTTTCGAAGGTATATCTGAGTTAATAGTTGTTGTAGAGGTGAAAGCATATATAACTCCTCTTTCCCTATTTTGAAGCGTTGGGACCAAAGAGGTCGCAGCTTTAAACACCTAACTTCTTATTTTGAGAATTTTCATAAATTTTGTTTTTTGCTTACAGATGTATACTGCTATCAGAATTAACAGGATTATAAATATACATCCCAAACTGTGGTAATGATTTTGTATAACCTTCAGGTATAGAGTACTTATTTCATGATCTTGCTTAAAATCATACACCGTTTTAATGTGACGCGTCTTTATTACGAAAAGAAACTATTTAAAAGTTAGAGGACTTCGAATAGCAAAGAAAAGCCAAAAACAAAAATTTAGTTAATAGTTTCTTTTCGTCATAAAGACGAAATACGAATCAATGAAGACGCGTCACTCTCGGTAAGAAAAAAAAAACATTAAAATTTAGAACTATAAGAAATAATATATATTATTGTTCAACTTTTCCTGATCGCGATCAACGAACTTGTAGAGAAACATTTGCATAGCTTCTTTGTAAAATTACACCCAAAAACAGGTGCTTTACATATACCTACTAAGTAAAAATATGCGTAATATATGTCTCTACAAAAGAAGAACTTTGAAACAAAAAATAGGCAATTTCAAGAGTTAACTTTCAATTCGTTGAACTTGTGTTTCCAAATAAAATCGTTGTAATTTAAAAAGCACGGCAAGTGCTTTGGTTAGTGTCACTAAAAAAGTAAGAAGTGACAAAAAACCTGGAACTAGAGCATTGAAAGTTCGTGCAGCCTTGGCTGCTTGTGGAAAAATACGATTATTCATCGCTTCAAATTTGACAGGCACGAGTTCTAAGTCTGACACTTGCAGTCCAAACAAATTAAAAACGGACTATTAACTAATTAAAAAGAAATTCAAATATTTACTAAGACCACTGATGATGAGAGCGTGGCAATACTCGAAACAGCGTTATATGTATGGTCAGTCAAATTTCAATAAATTAACTAAATTTTTGTTCTGGTCTTTTCTTTGCTATTTAAATCCCTCACACAAAGTTGACCGCAAATTTATACGTTGCAAGTGTATTCGATTGTGTTTGAACATAAACATGTATGGTTCTAAGTACAAACTCTTTTGTTTGAAAAAATTTGGTTTCATGTTATAAGAAGTATGTGTAAAGTTGTGTTTATTCCAGATTGATATAATATTCAACTTATATATATATTTTATTAATTTAATTTATTTAATATGTTATTTTGTTAATGAAATTGTAAATATTATATTGTGAATATATTATTGCCTAATGTAATATAATTATTTTTGATGAAACATCTAATATGTTTCAATTTATTATTTTTAATTTAAGCGCCTCACGTAAAACCATTGTAGAAGGGCCGCATACCCTTCCAGATAGGGCACGCGTCGTCACTGAATTTTACATATTGGCAATTTCAATATAGAATGACAATAATGTATTAGTCTGACTTTATAATCTCTCACCTGACTTTACAGAGGTGAAAAGCATGGGTAGTACATCCAAGATACTGTGCTGGTTAAGTTTTTAATTAGACAAGTGACAAAAATTAATTTCCTATTCCAGTGAATAACACAGAAACATATTCATGTATATAATACAGTCATGCGGGCACATGCTTTCATAGAACTTACCTAAATTTAATCGGGTGATTTTAGTGTTTTTTTTTTATTCAATAATTATTAAAAATACAGAAAAACTTTGTATAAGTGAATTGTTTATTTTTAATAGATGTATAACTATTAAAGCTGAACAAGAAAAAAATTGCTCAAAAATTGTATTAAAAATTGAAATACCTGACAAATGGTTATGAGTCCGAAGTTAATTCCTGCAAAGATAAAAGTGGCAATTATTAATTGTAAATTTTATGTTCATAATTGTAATTTTAAGAATATATAGTAATTGGTCTTGATACTGTAGTCGAGATGCAGTTATTGTGTAATGTAAACAAGCGATATTATACTACAATGTAATTATGGTTTTTATGCATTATGGATTATTAAAAGGTCGGTTAGCACTAGTCTCTCCCTCTCCAACCGCCCTGATCTTAACATCTTTTGTGTCTACCATACTCCCTCCATTGCTAACGTTATTAACTCCAACGATCTGGGCACCCTTGCTTCCTTGTCCCCTAACCCTTTCCTTATAGGGACTGACTTCAATAGCAAGTACCCCTTATGGAATAATTCTATCTCCAAATGTAGTGGCACCAGACTTTTCAACTGGCTGACGAGCAGTTCAGTCACTCCTATTCTTAGTGTGGTAGCTCGCTCGGTTCTGACTCGTATCAACAATATCATTGACTTTTTCATAGCGGATAATTGCCTTCTCCCCAGCCTCGATGATCCGCATGTCATCGACGGCGTATCTGATCACCAAGCGGTAAGGCTTGCGCTTTACGACTGCAGAGTTACTCGTGCCTGCCTTCGCACTTTTTTCAACTTTTCCAGCACCAACTAGTCAGAGTTTAATCTCACTCTAGATCATCTTCTTCTTCAGCTGAGCATCCCCGAACACAGGAACATGACTCCTGCGGATATCGATTTTGCTGCCGATGCTCTTGAAACCATTTTTGCCTCCTTTAAACTTCTCTGACACGCTTCGGCTCAAAGCGCCCAAAAAGTCATCTAGCACTGACTTTGTGTCTTTCTACACCATGCGACGTTTCTCACCTCTCTTCTTTAAAGAGTGCGCGATGTTCTTCAACCATGTGTACAACACTGGTTGCTTCCCCCAGGCATGGTGGAAGGCTATAGTATGTCCCATTGCCAAGAGTGGCAAACTCAAAGGTGACCCCTTGAGCTATCGCCACATCTCTCTTTTTAACTCTATCAGCAAGTTATATGAAACTTTCATAGCCAGTAAGCTGAAGTCCTTCTCTTCGATTAATAATATTATTCCCCCTTACCAGTTTGGCTTTAGAAGCCAAACTTCCTCTATCCATGCCCTACATTATCTCCAAAATGAGATACGCGTAGGTTTTTTCAATAAGCAGCCCACTGTGACACTAAGTTTAGATATTGGAAAAGCCTTCGACACCGTCTGGTTTGAAAGCTTAGTTCTTAAGCTCCACCAGTTCGGCTTCTCCTCATCTTTTTGCAGTGTGGTTCACAATTGTCTTTCTAATACGACTTTCAAGTCCGAGTCGGTTCCTCTTTGTCCCGTGACTTCCCCATCTATGCCGGTGTCCTCATGGTTTGGTTCTTGACCCCCTTCTCTTTAACTTTTTCATAGCAGACATCTCTCTCCCGCATGCCCCTGCCAAGAAAATCTACGCCGTCTATGCCGGTGCCCCTCAGGGTTTCGTTCTTGACCCCCTTCTCTTTAACTTTTTCATAGCAGACATCCCTCTCCTGCAGGCCTCTGCCAAGAAAATATGCTTCGCCAACGACTGTCTAGTCTTCATGCGGTCGTCTAACCCCCGCCGCATTTCCGTTGAGCTTAATGCGCACCTTGGATCTGTTTTTGACTACTACACCACGTGGAAAATCTGCTATAGCTTTTCTAGGCCAGCAGCGCGAGCGAACCAGAGGTTTTGATGTCTCCGTCATCGAGCTCAGACTCAACAACACACCCATCCAGCTAGTTCCCAAGCTAAAATATCTTGGCATTGTTTTTCCCTTGCAACATAATTTTATCCTCACATTGATTACGGCATC